CGGACTGACGACTCCGAAACGACTGTCGTACGTGGCGAATTTGACGTTTTGTGTAATTTAACCTTCTGCCCTACTCTTCTCGAATGCGTCATCGGGAATCGCGTAGAGTGGAGTCTACTCGAATCGCTTATTTATTTGCTTAATATTTTATTTGGCACCCACACACGCGCACGCACACTTTGTTGCACATGTTTTCATATTGGCTAGCATACATTATTTTGGTTTTATTAAGCATACGCCATGTTGATCGGGAGCCCTCGAACAGCGAATTGAGAGCCTTGGCCAGAAGCTTCAAGGTTATTATTTCCTTGCTGTTTGCCTCAAAATGTAACCCTCATCTCGTTTTTTTTCGGTTTTTTTTTTCTTGCTTATTTTTCTGTAACCAATTTAATGAGGGGCTCTATTTCGGCCTGTTCCTGGCTGTATCTACATGCCCCATGCATATTGCCAAAAAAAATTGTTGGAGGAGGAAAATCGTTTCACACATTACACACAACAACATGGAAGAGTCAGAGTGGTCCTGTCTCTTTCCTTCTTTCGCCTTAGGCAGCCCATAATTGGCGTATTTGTTTAACTGGCATTTCTAAACACTTTTTACTTGGTTTTTTTTCGGGGTATTTGGCTGAGCCCTCTGCAATTATTGGCTAGCCAACTTTTTTCTTTTCCACGAAGCGCGATTTGGGCTGCGATTTTGTAGTTTCTTCCCCTTTGCTCTCTCCTTCTGTATTTTGGTTTATTTTTCAGCGGAGCTCCGCGTCTTGACCGTTTGGCTCCACTTCTCCGACTACTTTGGAGGCTTCGCTTTCGCAGAGGCCTCGGCCCAAAAGCTTTCCCCGATTTTGTAGGCTTCCATGCAGACCAAGAGAGCAAGGCAGCGAGAGCGGAATCCCCGTCGAGACTGACTGGCGACGTCCTGGCGAGCTTCGCCCTCTCTCTCTCTCTTGTCCTATTTCTACAGTTAGAAAAAATATATATCTTCATGATTGGCTTCCTGATAAAGATCGTTGTTACAGCCATAATTGCAAAGTTTCAGAGCGTTACTTAATTAATAAAAAAAAATAATAATTAAGGAAACCCTTGAAGTTTCGCTTTATTATATTTAGACTTAAACTTAAGCTCCATAAATAAATTATGAAAAAATTTAATCTTATATGCTATATTTTAATTTAAATTAAATAAAAATATTATAACTACAGTAGCAGTTTTTTAAAACCACAACGCAAGGTAATTTTGTACTAATATTCAATATATGTTTGCCATTTTTCTAGGTATATCCCTCTCTGGCCCTGGGACCTAGGGCTCTCTTGTTGGTCTTGCACTCAAAGTTTGCGTTGTTTGGATTTTGTTATTTTAATGTTCACTGAGCAGTCCCTGAGCAAGTGGATAAGGGGAGGGGAAGCCAGGACAAAGGGAATACGAGAGAGGGGGTGTGTATTCTCAGTCTCGTTTCCCGTGTGCTTTTCGAGGATTTCTTTCGTGTAATTGTTTTCGTTACGTTTGTTACGTTTGTTATGGGCACCAGGTCCACATGCACCTAAAATGTAGACGTAATTGTGCACTACAAAAAATGATTGATGAAAGGGTTTATCGTGATTTTAAAATTATAACGTAGAAGCTTTGATACAATATTATAAATATTACCGAGGTATTTTTAAATTTTCGCACGCATAAAAATTACATTTAAATCAATGCCAGAAATAATTTATAAAATATGTTATTTATACATATTTACAACATTAGTACAAGAAAGTACGGTTTGTAAAATTATATAGTAGTTTTATAACATTTTCTCGAACACTCCGAGCCAATATGCATACAGTTATAATAGGCTTATATTTTTCTCTTTAACGTGGCTTGATTATTCGGCAATTAATAATTAAGAATTTTATGTAAGTCACAATATTAAGGAAAATAAAAATATTTTAAATAAAATGTTTCAAATTATAATTCTAGTAGCTTCAATGGCTTAATCCAACATTTTATTGAAGCTTTTGCCCAATTAAGTGTCTTGGTGTAGCCATAAAAACCAACCAACAAACCCGCGCCCATCAAAAGCCTTCCCAGCCACTCCCACCTTTTCTTTCATTTTCCTGCCCCTCTCGAATTTCCCTGAAGAGAGGCAACTCACTCAATAGTCCGAAAAGCGAACTGAGGCCCATCCGCTGAGACCCAAAAGAACCAGGTAATGCCAGAGCTTTGCAGAAAAGCTCTCTTCTCGTCGGAGTTCTCTCTTTTTCTTTGGCCGTCTCTCCCACGCATGAACTCAACACAGCTGGCGAAGAAACGTCAAAAATGTGTGACAGGAGCTCCACTCTAAAGAAGAGGCAGAGAATCGCCAGTTTGGCAGCTAGCAGAGGTCCTTTACTCTCTCGCTCTCTGGGGAGGCTGTATGTGTGTGGAAGAAAGTGGAGGGGCGTAAGGGTGAGTGAGGGCCCGACACGTTGTTGCATTTTTCGAGAAAAAGCGCTCAAAAGCAGGCAACTGAAAATTCCTTTGGCTTGGTGTTTTCACACGCTTGCATGTAACAGTTAAATCTTCTTTCCTCTTTTCATAGCCGTTTCTTTAATCTAACAATATTTACAAATTTCCAATTTAATCAATTCAAAAATAAAGTTTTTAAACTTGTACTATTTAAAGAATAATATATATTTGCTTAACAATATTTAAAATCTATTTTATTATATTGATAATTAAAAAACTAAACAATTGTTAGTCTGTACTTAATGAAATGATGTCGTATTATTCGTGTAAAAATGGTATTGCAAATTTAAGAAAACTTACCTTTTTCCTAAGGTAGATATTTATGCACTTTGACATACCTTCACATTAAACATAATATTTTTAGTCAAGCCAATCTTGAGATGAAATTATTTAAACACCAAAATCTTACGATTTTGATATATTGGTTTGCAAGGGTATTTGAGACACCATGCCTCAGTCTTCATTTCTATTTTTTTGTATTTTTTTGCTTTTTTGTTTGAAGGTTTCACCTGGTGTCGATGGAAATGTACACGTGCTATATGGTGGGTATATGGTAGAGGGAATCGCTAAGGAAGAGGGTGTAGCCCCCAATGGGTGGGGGGAACTTGTGTGTGGTGTGGAGGAATGGAGAAGGCCAAACTAGACTGTCGTCACGATACTGCCACCCTTAATCCCCATCTTACTTCTAGGACTTTCTAATTGAATTTCTTGTTTTGACCTGCAGTTGTGACCCTGTCTTATCAATTTTCCCTGTGGGTATGTGTTGAATTATGTCACTCCAACTGCGTCATTGTGTCTGCTTGAGGTTATCGATTATTCGTTCTCAGTTATGACGAAACGCGTTTGTACGCTAGAAATTGCTTTACCCCATTCACTATCCTCACCCCCGTAGTTTGGCTTCCGTTGCACAGAGAAAAAATTATCAGCATTGGTTAAGAATTTTAATTCTTAAAATCCAGAACCTTTTTCAATTATGATACAAAATGTGGTTTCCAAACTAAAGTTAAATGATAATATTTTAAACATTCGATTATATTTTAAACCGATTCAATCGACATTCAATAGTTCTGCTATTTAGATAAAGGCCTACTACTATAATATACATATGCGGCTATAATTTTTTCTTGCAATCATTATTATTAAACCTGCAAAATTACAAAGAAACACTTAAATTTCATTTTAGAACATTTGTTGGTATAATTTTTTTCGTGTGCTCATGACTTGCAAAACTATGACGTCATTGTTAACCCCGGAGCTTTCACTATGCTCCACTCCTCTACGCCACGCCCTCTTGGCAGCACTCCACTTTGATGCCACCACCCACTTTTTAGCCCTTTTGAGCAGCCTCAACGTCAAGTCAAGTCAACTTATTTCCATTTCCATTTGATGCTTGATGCGGATTTTCACCGACTAGTTTGAGAAAGTTTGTTTTTCGAGAGCTTTCAAGTTCTCCCCGCCACACTGCCACGCCCCCTCGCCCTCCGCCCGCACATCTCCGTTTGTTTGGCTCCGTGGGTTTTATTATTGCGGTACAAGATTTATTTTTTGTCATTGAAGTGATCTAATTAAAGTTTGTGTGGGCCGAAAAATTATACGCGCCAAAAAAGGGTAAGGGATAACGAATTTTATTTTCAGCGAAAGTTAGGTCGGAGGTGCAACTTGTTTTCGTATCCGACCAAAAGTTGTTAAAAAGTCAAAAAATAAAAGTAATTTATTTCAGTTTTACTGCCTTCATCTCGTCTGTGTGTTTGTGTGTGTGTCAGCCTGCAAATGTAATGAGATGTTTTGACCCGCTAACTTGGTCCTTTTCTTCTAACCCCTTCCTTCAGCCTTCGGTGGATGCTGATTTGGTTTGAAGCCTTGGCCAAGTTCTCTTGGCATCGGCTGCTTGATAATCAGATTTTTCCACTTTCCGTCCTTCTTCGCTTTTCACATCGAAATGGGTTAAACTTTTTCTGTCGACTTGTTGGGGGTTAAGTTTTCACATAGCCAAGCCAGGCTAATCAAAGTTGGAAATCAGTTTTGTTGGATTACTAATACCTTTAATGGAATGACAAATTTTTATACAAAGATGGGATGGAAAGATTCTTGATATATCTTTAGTCCCATCAGAAAAACGTAGAAATCGATGGAGCTATTTTAGAAAGGGTTTGTAAAATCTATTACATTTTGATTTGTTTCGAATGGAATTGGAAATCTATGGAACCAAGCTAATGATTATTTTGCATTTTAGTTGATTTATTGAATTTCATTTTCAATGATTCCTTTAATCTTTATTTCGTAGAATGTTTTACTTACTTTTACCGAAATATTACAGTAAATCAGCGGTCGGCACACACATACGTTGACATTTTGTTTTATATTTGTGTATGTAATTTGCACTGGGCAGCTCATCGATGTGTGTGTGCAGACCGCTGTTTTACGTTATACATGTGCGAGCAGCGCGCCGGCAGAACAAAACCCTATGCTCACTTAATAGGGCGCTGCCGACCGCTGCAGTAAATTAACGAGGCAAATCATTATGTTTTCGTTTGGTACAATTTATTTTTCAGAAGAACACAAATTATAGCTTTTCATTTATCTATTTACAATATTTCTCTGTTCATCTTCTTTCGCGTACTTAGTTTTCATTTAAATAACTATCATATTTAATATGTATAATTCTAAGTAGATTCTTAGTGTTTACCGTAGATGTATAATTGTTTCATTCTCTCAGTAGTTTTCAATGTAGATAACTTACAAAATCTGAAATACAATATCTTAACCTGCTAAAGTTATTGATAAAATATTATTTCTTGTTGTGCACTCCACACGGAAACAGTTACAAATCGTACTTATTGTTAAACTTGTATTTATAATACACATACAGTGGGTAAAAACATCTATACAAATATGCTTAGTTGTTTGTGTTTGAAAGTCCTCAAAGTACAGACAAGGAGGATCCTTCAACCAACTCAATATCCGTTTCAAGATCCCAAATTATTGTACCACATTTAGAATATCAATTGTTGTATTCAAATATATATACGTAATATATAATTGTGTTTGTAAATATCAGCAAATATTCCAGTAGAGTCTCTATATAATATAATATATGTTTTGGATTGGTATTTTTCGAGATATACTTACACATTAAACTCTAGGCCTGGGAAAAATCAGAGATTACAAAAGTCGGCTAACTGCTAATTGACAGGTTAGAATCAAAAGAGATATTAATCGAAATAATCGGTTATCGAACTAATTTCTTCTACTATTCTTTCGCTTTTCAATAAATAACTTAAACAAATTACGAACCTAAGTAGAAATTGGTATATCCAGTTTTGTCATGGGCGAGTCAAGCTCCAGCTATTTACAATTTCCCCCTCCCAATAAAGGTAGTCCCTTCTTCACTCCTCGCCCTCGTATCCCAGACACCACAATTGGGACAGGGGCACGGCTGTGGACTAGCTTCCGGCCACGCCCTCTTCCTTTCGCGGTCTCAGGATAAAGTTGAGGTTGTAGTTCGTGTTCACCGCGTAGTAGACATTCGCATTCTTCGGCATTACCAGTTCCTTATCGGGTAGAACCTGGGCCAGAGTAAACCTATCCGGATCGTCCTCCAGGCCCAATTTGAGCATAGCATTTCGGATCACCGTCGGCGTGCGCTCGTTATTTCCCAGCATAATGCTCTTGTACAGCACGATTCCGTCCAGCTCGATGTTGTCCGTTTCGTAGGTCACCCGGATGATATAGAAGTCCGGAGCGGACTGGGGAGTTCCACTCGATGGCTGCACCAGCTGGGCGTTGATATGGGGGGACCCACCATTGGTGGTGCCATTCCCGTGCGATTTCAGTCCATTTCCCATGGACTGCGAGTGCGTCAGTTTGCCCGACTGTCGACCGCCGGAGTTGCTGGAATCCAGCGACAGATTGGACACACTGCTCGAGGCGGACATCAGGGAGGCGTGCTGGTGGTGGGCATCCCTGTCCAGGGAATTGTGCCTCGAGCTGGTGCTGCTGTTCAGTTCGCAGTAGAACTGCGATCCCGCCCCGCTGCTCGAGTTGGAGTGAATGGAGTCAGTCTTCCGGTGGCCCATTATCGAGGCCGTCGATGAGCCGGTCGTATTGGTTAACGAGGTGTTGGTGCTGACCACCGATTTCCGTGGCGCCGGTGGCTGTGGCTCCAGTCGACAACTCAGCTCAAAGGCCTCCCGCTCGTCAAACACCGGCATCGAGTTGAACCAATGATCGAACAGGGCGTCCCCCTGCAGATTATACGTGTTGGCCGCTCCCTGGAGCAACTTTATCTGGGCCAGCACCTCGAACTCCTTGCGTTTCTTATCGAAGTTTATGAGCTTGTTCTCGGTGAGGTAGTCCGGGTTGGCCGTATGGATCATGGTCAGGTCGGTGAGGAAAGTACCCAGATAGGGTATCGTTCCGTGCGATGTCTGCGTTCCCAAGTTCAGAATGAGCTTCTGCAGGTGTCTATCACCCTGATCACTGCCCGGATCGGGATTCTTGGCTGTTCCCTCGCGTTTCAGTACTTCCCTCAGGGTCCAGGCATTGTTGTCCTCCGAGCAAATGTTCGCCAGCTCCGTAAAGACTTCCATCTGGTGAAGAATTACGGATTAGGAATTTTATACGTAGTTATGTAACCAATACTTACCCTTTCTTTAGGCAGCACTTCCCAGATCTTGGAGAGGCGGTATATGGAATTGGAATTCAGTGCAGAAATAATGGCCTTCAGTGAACTAAAGTTCTTGAGCATCCGCAGCTCCTGGGCAATGTCAATCCAACGTGAAATGTTAAGAGCGCGTTCCTGGTAAACATAAAGAATAATAAGATTAATAAGATAAGACACATGTAAAATCGAGATGGTCATGTAAATTTCAGGTCATGCAAAAACCCATACGTTTTTATATACTCTCTCGATCAGGTCAAATTTACCTGGCCGAATATCAAATTAAAATGAATCTTTAATAATGTAAAATCGATCTACGTTTCATAATGATCATTACCTGAGGCTTGAGGCGATCGATCAAGATGCTGGACACCACCCGAAAGAGCACCGCATTGAATTGGTTGATGGTGGCCACCACAGTCTCCGATCCTCCGCTGTCCCGCCGGGCCCAAGTGTGTCCGAGGCACTGGTGGGGTATCAGTCGCTTGAAGAGTTCCGTGTCCATACGGGTCAGCTGCTCGGCAAAGTGCCGAACGGGGACGTGAGGGAAGCGGAAGGCCTGCAGAAAGTGCGTGGGTCCGCGGTAGATGTGCCCATGACCGCCCATTGGCGCCAGATACATGCCGTTGAACTGATCCGTCAGGTCATACGAAGAGCCGTAGTGCGTGGGAATCATGAACTGCTGCATCTGTTGCGAACCCGCTGCAGAAAGCCACGAGAGACCATTGCCCTCTGAGCCACCACCTCCACCTCCTCCTCCATTCCCATAGACAGACTGTCGGATCAGGCGCTCCAGACGATTTAGCACCTTGATGTGCAGATCGGAACGTTTCAGTCGCTTGGTGGCAAAGGCCAAGATCTGTTGATCGAAATATATAATCAATAAATAGAAATCTTACAATATTGTTTAGAGTTTTTCCCTACCTGCTGCAGGTTGTCCTCATGCCAATCCTCCGGGAATCCATCTAGCCACACGTGAAGCGCCGAGACTAGGGTTTTCTTGTGCTGCTCATGGATGGAAGCATGGGGATCATAGGCGGGATCCATAACCTGGCCATTCTGCTGCGCCTGCTCTACCTCCTCCACGTGCTTCTCGTGCAGCGCATCGTAGCGCTGCGTCAGCAGACTGAGCACCTGCTTGGGCGTGGAGAAGGTGCGGTAGGTGGACAGGAACACGTTGATGAAGGTCGACTCCAGCTCCCCGTCATCGGTGGCTAGCGCCTCCACCAGCCGGGCCAAGGTAGCCGCCTTCACGAAGCGCACTCGCACTGTCTCCCACTCCAGATGGGAAATCTCATCATCCGAGTCCTGCAAGGAGAAAAGTTAATATTATTATTTAATAATATTTAAAAAAAAAATTAAAAAAGATGTAAAAGTTACAATTACTATATCAGTAAGCATGATTTACTAATTGAAACTTGATTTCAGTCTGGCAAATTAATTGGCGTGCAGTAAAAAGTGAGACTGGTTTCTTCTATCTCAAATTGGTGGCACCAAACGATTCTATCCGACTAAGTAATTGATATTGGGGTTTACTTACATTGCTGGCGGTGGGCGTGGGTCGGTGGTATCGCACCTTCTTCAGGTAAACGGTGAAAATTGCATTCTTCTCGTGCTCTTCGCCCCAGAGGCGCCACGTGGGCTGTAAAATAATAAAGAAGGAAAAGTGGATTAGTCTCTGTGGCGCTGATTGCTTTCTAGTTTTTTAAGATGTTTGTTTTCCCTGAACTTTGTGTGGGACTTTGCCAAAACTAGTTAAATATTTATTGAACGAAGACAGCAAAAATATCAGTTCAGTAAAAAATAAAAATATTTATAAATGAGAAATGTTTGCTACCATTCAATAAAAATGTATTTAAACAATATCTAAAATCTGTGTCAAAGTCAAAGATCACGGATAATTTATAGGCAATCAAATGTATCATACATCTAAATTTAGATTTAGTTTCCGACGTATTTTTAATTTATTTCCCCTTAATGCGAGTTCAACAATTTTTAAATATTCCCAATATAAACATTATGTCTTCAGAAATTCGCAAATTGTTTTGAGTTTGAGATTTGTTTGTTTTTGTGGAAATTCGGTTGTCTGGCATTTCCATTTCCGTTTCGTATGGCATCTTTGGCAATGTTAAGGCCCAAACCACATTTGTTCTTGTCTAGTCGTGGTATTTTAATTGATACATAAATTCTTTGCTAATTTGTTGGATAAAGCAAAACTAAATGTGTTTCAACAGAGATAAAATTGAGAATTCAATTTCGAATGACTTGAAGAATTATGCAATATTAAATTTTAATCCAAATAGTTTTTTAAAATTTTAGACAATAAATAAAGCTGCCAAGATGTCTTTTTATACAAAAAGTTTCGCACGCACTTGTTTTTCTTTTTATACAACTTTTTCCCAAGGCCCAATGCGTCCGGAAAATGCCTAGCATATTTTCGCTTAATCAGCGCAAAAGCATTAAAATTCTAATTAGAAAATCATGCAACACACAAAGGCAGCGCTTTACAAAATACCTTTTGTGTTTATGTAAAAACTATGTAAATACCACACACAGACGGGCCCACATAAAATGAGTGCATAAGTATTTAAATTGAAATTTACTCGCAGCAATGCCAAAAGCGTGAAAAAGCATTAAACGAGAAGTGAATGAATAAACGGGCAGCAACAGCAACCACAAAGGAAAAGGCACGCAAAGTTTGTTTGTAAGTGATGGCGCCCCCCAATAATAAACAGCAACAAAAGTTACAGCAAAGCCGTGGATTAACCAAAGTTGCTATAAAAAGATTTTTCTGAACAGAGAAAAAATAATATCGGCAAATCTCTATAAGTTCGGATAATATTTTCCTTCTTGACTCAAAAGTTTATTAAAATTTGTAATTAATTTAAAGAACTCTAAAAAACAAGCATATTTTGATTATTATTTGTTTATTTAAAATACAATAAATATAAATAAATTAAAAACTATTAGTAATTTTTATTATGTTGTTAAGTCAATTAAACGTCAAAAATTTTGAAAATAAGAAAAAAGTTTTTAAAAAATCAAAGGTTTTTTTATTTAATTTTTTGAATAAATATTAAAATGCATGAAATATAAAACCAACTTAAAAATATTTATATTCAGAAAATTCGTATACCATATATATCTTATACATATGGCTAAAAATTAACTAAATTTAATTAAATGGAAACATTTTGCTCTGTGCAGACAGGGCGACAATAGCAACAACATCCAGCTGACCCCAAATGAGAATCCGAAAAGGAATGCAAAAACATAAACAATCTTTGACGGGGTGGGGAAAGGGGGCCCCACACACGAAAATCCACACACAGCCATCACACGTACATGGGGTCATCCATCCTAGACAGACAGACACGAATCTCATGTTGATCCAATTAATTGCCCGCATGCGCTTTGATTACACCAAACAAAGGCGAACCAAATTGCTCGAATGTTTAGTTCACTTTGCCAGCATTTCGTAAATTTTTATTGAAGTACTTTAATATTTCGTAAAAACATGGGACTACATAACGAGTACACACTTCTTTTTTTCTGAGGGCGTTAAGTGGCAGGCAAGAGTGGGGCGATTTGTTGCTTTGTGTAATTGTGCATACATTTTTGTTTGCGCCGAGATGAATCTGGAAACAGCTGAAACATTTCCAAATGGCCTTGCAAAAATAGAAGACACGATGTGGCAATGTAAGGGCATGTGGAATAGGGTAATCTAGCGATCCATTTGCATTTAAACAATTTAGCCGGCGATTAGTAAACAAAATTCAATAACAACAGCTGCGAAAAATGATGTTTGGCCGGCCAGTGCTTCCTGCTGAAAATCCGAAAACATAAGAAACAAAATTGCAATTGTTTTTTATTTAATTGTAGCATGCTTAAGCTTAATTGCCGCTGTCTGTTTTATTTTTCGCTTGGCTGATTTACACACACTTCCCCTTCCCAAATCATTTGGCATATATGTATGTATATTTTACATACATATACAATGTGAAGGCAACATTTAATCAATTCCGATTCACGATCATCGGCGCCGGCAGCGACTTTTCCTTAGCAGCATCTGCCAAAAACTTTTGCCGCTGTTCTTGATTCGCATTGTTGAAATCCACATACATATAGCGTATACGTATTTATTTAATTTATTTGTTATTTATTTGGCATTTTTTGTTTTGGATGCCTTATACGCTCTGCGTTCAGTTGGTTTCGCTGTTTAATTAATGACGCATTATGGCAGCTCAGTTCAATTCCCCATTTGCGTCAAAACTGAAGGAAATACTAGTACTGCTACTTAAAAATGATTTAAAGGCATGTATTTGGTGGTAAATCATGATTTAATGGACATTGATTTATTAGCTGCAAGCACCAATTTTGAGTTATTTTTCCAATATTGTCCTGCAAGGACTGGATATGATTCACTCTTAAAGATCTTGGTCGAATATTATTGTAATCAAATTATTCTTTAAAGCTTTTAGCTATTTTGGCATTTCATCTGAGAAGAAGATTAAACGTTGTTGAAGCGACAATTTCATTCATTCACTTCCGTCCGTGAATCTCACTACTCAGTCTATTATTATCACTGGGTTCAAGTTCACAGACAATTAAGTGATATGTTTTGCTATCACACAACTATTTGGCTTTGAACATTTGCATTTAAGTAAATATCAAATTTTGGGTTTTATTCAGTTGATATAATATATTGCTGTTCTTCAACCAAATTCTGAGCTATTTGTTAATTTTGCAAAATTGTCTCATGAATTGCCACAGCAATTTTGATCCAATTAGTAGTCTGTTGCCTTACCTCAACGTCTTAAATTCTTGCTAGCAATTCAAGCAATTAATTAGTGTCAATTAGTCAATCAATTGGGTAAACATAAATAAGCCGGATGTGACTCGGGTATCTGTAACTGAACGACTGTCTCACACTAAATACAAGCAAAGAGAAACAAAACCCGAAGCAATAATGAAGTGGGCAAAAAATACTCTTTGATATATAATTTTATAGAATGTTCTAAAAAACTGATATTTCAAATCTTGATAGAAAAGGGTACTTTCTGGTTTCAAATAGATAAATTTGGTCACTCTAAAATGCATTTATAAAATAAAAAATCATTACCATAAGTAAAGACTTTTCTTAATAATACGATTACGCTATTAATGATGCTTTATTTTAAGATTAACCACCAATTATTAAAGCTACGCATGCACGCGAGATAGTTATCCATTAAAATTTTCAAACGACGCGTCGTTAAGTTATTTTAAAAATAATAATATGATTTAATCAAATTAATGACGTAGGCTGACTAGTTTACGAAACCCTCAAGTTACCTTTGTGTAGGTATAGTTTTTGGCGTGCAGGTCCTTGGTCTTCTTGGAGAGATTCCTCAGTGTGGCACCCGTGCAGGCGCATAGGTACTTCAAGCTGGCCACCACCTTTCGTTCCGCATTGAGGACAGCTGACGAAACATCCAGGTCGTCGTAGGAGTGATAGGAGCTGTTCCTGCGCGGTTTGGCCGAGGCGGATCGGGATCGTCGCTGCTGGGGCTCCGTGTGCTTTTGGCACATGTGAGCAGCTGGCTCGCTGGCTGGGATCAAGGACTTCTTCCTCTGTCTCGGACAAGTGTGGTGGTGGTATTGCCTCTTGGTGTCCTTCGTGTCCTGCTGCTGCTGATGGTAGGCGCAGGACTGGCTGGTGGTGTTGTTGTTCACCTGCCGCCAGGCACTGCTGAAGTCCGTGTTGTCCAGCGGAGGCATCAGGGCGCGATTATATCCCGTCAGATCCTGCAGCTGATAGGCGCAGGTGTGACTCTTGATCAAGGCGGGCTTCTGCTGGTGCTTTTGGCTATGCGGGCATTTGCAGTTGGCGCGACTTGTGAAATTCTGCAAGTTTTTCGGGGGGTTTTGTTTAGACTCAAATAGTTTATCTAGTTTTTCGGGCTTGGGGGTGTTAAACTCTCAAGAGGTTGCTTTGTACTTGATCTTGGTCTCGCGGGCTGTGGTTCATTGATTGACTGCGACCCTCAACCCACTTGAGCTGTCTTCTCAGTTCGTTCACAGAGCCCCTGACCTTGGCTACGATTTGACTCCAAAGACACACACGAGCACAATCCACTCGCATTGTTCAGCTGTATTTGATGTTTATGAGCTACTCACTACCAAAAAAAAAGAAAATACCCAAAAATAGACAACAACAAAAAAAAACAATCCAGCAAACAAACAAACGAAAAGTGTATTTTTGACAAGCGACTTTGTACTTCAAGTGGCGCTCACTACTCACTCATCCCCTCCATATTTGGCTAAATGGGAAGCGTTTGCCCCTCGAACCCCTATCGCAACCCCCAAATGCCCGGGGGCCCAATTTACGGGCAATCTTTGTTTAACAATTTCACATTGCGTTTGGCGCGTTGTTCATCCCGGCCTATAATCGTAAACAACATCCCAAGTATGATCATTCAGGCAACCCATTCAAGATGTGTTCAACTTTTACCAGGAAGTTATTACGGGCAACTAGTTTGTTTTTGTTGTTTTTGGGCCTTAGTATTTCACGCCTATTGACAGCTGCGCACAGGTTTTCGCCAAGGAAATATTCATCCGAAAATACTCTAACAAAGGAAAGGCAACGGGAAGAGTTTCTACCAATGAACTAGAATGGAAAACTCAAGATCAAGTTGATGCTTTTCCAAATCAATATAATACTTTAAGATTATAAAGTCTCTATAAATGATCAACATTTAATAAAGAGTAATATATTTAAATAGTATTGGATAGAGCTCTTCTGTTTTTATATAAGTTTATGTGAGATTAAAGAGTATTTCCGAGTCGTTCAAGACAAATAACTCTACAATATTTTGCCTAGATAAATATTTTCTTGTCTCTGGTGTGGAAACTGCGCTGCGCTTTCCTTTTCTCCATCAGTTTTATGGCATTTACCTCGCCGGAGATGAACTGGCCCAGCCCATTTCATGTTGAGTTTAGACATAAATTCAGGCCAACTCCGACCATTTTGCAGTTTTTTGCTCAATTACAGCTCGGCCTGGCTTCATTGCCAATTACATAACTTGTTTCTGGCCAAATTCGTGCGAAGAGAAATGTCATTTGGCTGGTAGGTCTTTGAGCCAGTTAATCTCCGCGAGGAAAATAATCACATTATTCGAAGAGAGGTCAGCGCTTGGTCGTGCGTGAGGAAAGGAGAAAAAGGTCGGGTCCAGAGGTCTCGGATCTGGAACGTGCCTCGTGTGGCCGAGTGTACCAAATTATATGTGATGCCTTGAAATTAAATTACCAAGAAATGCATCGACAACCAAACAATCAAATACGCATCACGAAAATTAAATCGAGCGGCAATCGAATCAAACAAATATTGGAATGCCCTCCGATAATTAAGGCACGTCCGTCTAGCATGCGTCATTCTTTGGGGGGAAATCTAGGATTTTCTTCCCGGGGCGAACCCATAAACAAGATGCAATCTGAACAATCTAATAAGTCGAGCATGAATTATTAGTGGTTTGCGGATTGTAATCACAGTGGACTATTTTCAAATGGAAAGAACTAAGGAAATATGCATCTATCCAAAAAATGAAAATCAATAGGTTTTAAATAAATAGTTATATACGATGTAGTCTCACTAAACTTTTCATAATTATAATTTTTCTACAGCTCCACATTTCTGATTTATAGACATTAGCAACGTTTGCCCCGAAGATTGCATATTAATGGCGATAAGAAAATATGCTTGCTTATTCCAAGAATATATCAAAGCTTCTCCAAGTCGAACTTTGAGCCAAGAATTGATTAGAAAAAATCCTTCAAAGCTTCAGATCCAACAACCCAGACCCACATGCGCATACATATTTGTAATTGTTTTGTTTGAGATGCCTTCGTCTAATCAATATGCACATATATTGCACTCGATTCGTACCAAGCCCCAGAACCTGAACACACTCATTTCATTCACGATTATTATTACAACGAATGCCAAACGAGACCGAGAGAAACAGAACACGACGCTGGGAGGAAACGACATTTGCATACGGCTGAGTTTTTACCTTTTCAGTTCGAATGAATCATCAGAAAATACCGAGCCCAGGAAAAAACAGCGGCCGAAATAAAGCTCATTAAGTAATGAAATATTATAGTATTATAATGCCAGACGGGCAATTGTCAAACATTTTCGTGTTTGTGTATACAAGCTGCTCAATTATAAAGAAATAGCATCCAAGTATGATGGGGCGGCTAATTGGGACGGCCCACATCATCTGTCTATATATAGATCAGGTGACCTTTCCTCCAGAAAAGCGTGTGGGTGGTGATTTCTGTTTTATGCCAGGGGGTTTCTCTCAATTACAGATCTCTGCAAAAATAGCCAGAAACCAAAACAAAGGAGAGTCGAACAACAACATCAAAGCGGATGGCCATTGCTTTTGCATTTGCATTTGGGGTGAATTTTTCAACGAACAGCTGTACAGCTGAGGTCAAAATAATCAAAATGATTTCAAAATATGTAAGTTAAGGATTAAATTATAAAATTTCAATGGCAAATCAAGCTGTTAAAAAAGACTCCTGATTAAAAACGATGTTTTTTTTTTAGTTTGAGCAATAAAAAGATCTAAAACTAGATCTAAGTCATTGGCAAATTCCTAGGGCAATTAATTAAATGTCCGAAATTTAGAACACATTTCGTTTATCTTGTAAAATATTTAAAATCATTTATTTTGACCGCAACTGTAGGCACCAATATCTATATTTAAATCGACGACCCCTGGCACGAGTTTGTGAATTGCAGCAACAGAAGCAGCGGCAAAAAAACAACGCAAAACAAAATTGAAAACGCCAAAGAAAAAAGAAACTGAAACTAAACACCACTCTCCCCTCTGTCATCTCTGACTGACTGGCTAAATGACTCTGACTGACTGTCAGTTACATGTGACTGCATCCGACGCACTCAGCTTGACAACATTTGTTGCTCCCCCGGTGCACTAAAAAAATTTATGGGAATTTTTAATAAATTAAATGTCAATACTTTACTGACACAAACCCACTTAAAATGTTTAACTGTTTCTACAGAAAATATAAATAAAAAATACCGTGACAAAAATTATTTTAAAATTATATTCTACAGCCAAATTTTAGCATATTTCTTTGAAACTATAATCTAGCCAATTTTTTCAAATGCAAATAATTTTATACAGTAGTTATACCTCTCTTTTATTCATTGACCGCATTGATATTTTTTGATTTCCCAAACAATAATATCCGATTAATCTTTTCTTTTTGTGTACTCATTTGTATCTACTACTCAGCTTCTGTCCCGCTCTTTCTGCTATTATCAAACCACATCCGTCGGGCAGCAGAGATGATGTACAAACAATACAAAAACATATCAACTTGAACTAAAGCTTGAGCCACTGAGCATAGCTCGCCAAGTAAATTATTTTTATGCACTCCCCATCATTTTCCACTGAGAAGAGGAAGAGGGCGGAGCTTTTGTTTTGCATACAATGGGAGCTGATAAATGTTTGAGGGGGGAGCTCTCAGCATAAACGGATGATAAAGAAACAAAAACAAAACTGAGACTGCAACTGAATTAATACATTTGAGGCCTGTTCTCAAATGATTCATTTTGAAACTCATAACTTTCCGAAATAATTCGTGGCCTGCCCTGTGTGAATTTCTGAGAAATGCAACACATTACTTATTCATCACTTAAATATACACTACTTTCTCAAATCCAACAAATCGCACCATTCTGAATGCTTATCAATAAGGATGTATTTTGTAGGCCCCCGAACCCAGTATTATTACAACAAGTCTACAGGTCTGTCAGTTCTCATACGAATCATTTATAACTTGTAAATATTATCAACTTTTATCGATTCCTAGTCCTTCCCCCAGAGACGTGTTTTATTTCTGGACTCCACCAAGGCGTAAAGTTTCCATGCCATTGCCTTTTTACCCACAATCGTTGTTGGCATTTCTTTGTGATTCGACATCCAAGACACTACAGTAAGCCCTCTCCACATACAACCAGATCAAGTACAAAGCAACTAGTTTTCAGGGTGGGTATTATCGATATTTATCCATATTTAGGGGCGAAGGGTCAATAGTAATGAACAAGATAAACCTCCTACAACTGACATACCCTCACAGTGGTTGCAATTTAATCTTATCTAAACTTTTTAACTCCGAGTCAATGAATGGAAAAATGAGTATTTACTGTCAATATCTTGGAAACTAACAAATTTGTATGATTCAACATGCGAGTGACCACTGTAAGGGTAGGATGAGAGCCCATAGATCTCAAGTGCGCTCATTTTTATCTGCCCTGATGGACTACGATTTTTTTACCATTTGAGATTGGCTTTTGTTCCTTGAGAAATGTTGCTGAGATTTCCGGTGATGCACTGCTAGGTTTCTCCTATCCGTTATCCTCTTTCCTTTCTGTTTGCTTTAATTTACACGGCTCCTTTAATGGCTTCTGGTGTTTTATTTTTACACCCAAGTGCAGTTCAATGGATGGTGGGGGTGTTGTACAAGTAAAATCGATATTCCTGCTGCTCTTTTTTTCTGAGCTTCTGTGGCCTGTTCAGCTTCCTGAGGACGATGAGTCAACGGAACGTAGAAAAACACACCCAGGAGCAATATATGTAGGTGGGGTTGGGGGTTGATATTTGTATTTGTCCACTGGTTAGTGGATAGTGGTGAATCCTTGGTCCGCGAAGAAGGGTTCGTTGCACTACGCCTCTGCGTCTGCTTCGCAATCTCCTTTTGCTCTCGTGCTTTAGCACGCCTTCCTTACTATATCTATATATTTATTTTCACTTTTATCGCTTTTTCCTTTTCTTTGGCTAATGCTGCACTCGCACACACGTAAACACTGATTTTCGGGATACCGCTTGCATTTTCATTCGCTTGGTTGAAAATCTCAACATGAGATATCCATGTAATTACAAAAACATTATACAAAATTCCCATTCGGGGGTTTCTCCAATTGGAAAGGGGGGCGAGGCGCAGAGCGCAAAACGCGCGCGAGACAAACACACAAAGCCCTCGGCAGAGAGACACGCGACACAACCGCCGCCAACAACAGTCGAAAACGAACAAACGAACTCTGCCCGCTTAGAACAAACGACCGCCCGAAACCCCATCGCTTGGACCCAGCTCTCTCTTGCTCTCTCTATCTCTCGGGGATCCACTCTCTCCCAATAAGAACACAAGCAGCTGGGAGGGTTGTTCTTACCGGACGGATGTAACTGTAGCATCCCCGTGATGCGCTCTCCTGCGCGCTCTCTTCGCGCTCTCTCAGGTATTCCAGTTTTATACCGTGGGAACTTAAAGCACCCACTATTAATTCTAACCTTGTACAAGGGAATATAGAATGTGTGGGAACCGAGAAAAATATAAAGAATTCGAATAGGTACTTTAAAGTACACAAAACCATTAAAATTATAATAATAACATAATGCAATTTTTTGATAACAAGGAAACCTATTTTTAAAATATGATTCATTTCTTAAAATATTTTTTAGATTTATTCAATATCTATTGTATCAAAACCTACATACGAACTTTTTCATTAAAAATAAAGATTATTCGCCTTTTTGAAATGTAAATTTTGATTCAAATTCATAAAAATGGGCATCACTTAGTCGGTTCAACTTAAAGTAAAATATTCTTACTTATTCCTACCATTCTCGCTCTGTTTATGTTTTTTCTGATGAGCAATTGAATGGATTGTTTGTTTCTCATCAGAACTCTCTCACCCACTCTCTTAGTAATATTTAGTATTTTTTCAGTATTTTTTGGGGCAACTTCACACTGACCCCCACAATAGCATTTGTTTTCATTATCTTCACGCATTAATCAATGGAATTTATGAGCGTCTTAAAACTTTGAGACCTACCGTGCTTTTGATTAATGCCAAAGAAGAAATTTAAATAATTTTCCTACTTGCTTTGTTTGAATTTTTGGGCTATCTATTGACCACCCGGCCAAACATGTGAACTGGAATGACATAATTATGGAAATGGGAATACCTGTGTGTTGTCTGGTATTTGGTAACGATTTAAAGAAAGCTGGCGGGGAAATCAATAAGCAGAAATATTAATAAAAACGTGCATTTACGTAAGCGCCAATCAAACGATGTCTGTTGCTTGTAGACGTTGGATAAACATTGGACACCGAAGGCACGTCAATTGATCAATTAGCGAATGCAACAAGTTAAAAGACAAAGGGCGGTGATACGTTATGCACTTCGGGAAGCTGATAACGATTGTTGCATAAAGAAATCAAAAGAAATCAAGTAAAGCTGAAGTGTTAATAATTCCATCTAATATATTATTTGGTTTGGATTTTCCATTATTTGTTTCATTCATAACTTATTTCAGTCATAATATGTTTCATTCCCCGACTTTAAAAAAGAGGAAATTAAGATTAAATAATGAGAAATCAAATTTTTAGGAAATGTCTCATAGCGATTGTTATTTGAAGAGAACAATGTTTTACCCAAAAGATTTAGTCATATGGGAAGATTGCTCATTAAATTGAATTAGTAACAAAATAGTTATTTTTAAAAAATAATCATTATAAAAACCCTGTACGAAATTTCACAAATAGTTCATAGAACTAAATATAAAAATTCAACTTCACTTATATCAGCTTGTATATAAAAATATTATTACTAATTCTTCAACACCCGATGTGTTAAAATTGATATTTTGAAATCTGTTTAATCCAAGTGTAACTTCCTTACGGCCACAACTTCTGGTTCACGTTGATTTGGTCCACTAAATATTTGACCAAGTAATTAGCAGACTTGAGCAAAAGCTTCCACACAAAGTTCGGCGCTCAGCGAGATACTTTCAAAATGACTTTCTATGCATTTCCCTGTTACTTTCTACGCTTACTATGTATTTACTAGAGTGTACACCGAACTTGGACAAAAGATAATGGGGTAGCTACTCACCAAACTATCGGCCACATTTTGACTCATTATATTCCGCAGCGTTGACGATGGCCAGATGCTGCAATTACTTCAAGGTGCGTGCTGCTCAAAATCTGGTGCGATGCAATTGCCGATGGTGGTGGTGATGTAGATAATGATGCTGATAATGACTGGTATCTGTCGGATACGCGCATTTTGGCTTGGCACAGCTAACGACAAACAAAGACTGGAACACACACACTTTGGCGGACACGTGTAACGCGTTTACTTATTTATTTCTTTTTTGGGTTGTGCAATTCGCTCGGCGAGGCGGATGTATCTGCAAGATACGCGACCAAACTTGCAATCGTATCGACACAAATTTCAAGTTTTCTTTTCCATTTCGTTACCAAACTGCAAGAAAGCGACAAAACATTCGGGTGAAAACCATTTCAACTCAATGGAAAGTGCGGCAGTAGCAGCAGCCCGCAAATGAAACGGTCAATAAAAGTTTATAAAAAGTAACGCACACCGAAATGAATCAAAACCCAGCGCACACACATTGTTGGCATTCCAGAGGCTTAGAAGCCAAGACCGCGGAGACCAAGCGCCATCGAGCGCCCAGCAACAACTAACCCGCAGTGGAGCAGCAAAGCACCGGAATGAAATAAATGCGACTTGAGCGTGGCGCGCAACTGATTTACGATATTCGCTACACAGCTACAGTGGGATGAATGACCAACTATTTCAGAAATCTATCTTTGATTTAAAAGTCTAATAAAAAATATAATTTATAATACTTAAATTTCAATAAATAAACAATTATCATAATTTGCTGCTAGGGTAAATTTTTCTAGGAATAGGATATATATCTATGGTGAAAGTCTAGACAATTACCGCTTATTTTGTAAATAAACTAAATGCATGATGTAAAAATATAAGGCCAGTTAACTTTTGAAATTTTCTGTCACTTTAGAACAAAAATATTGTTTCGCAGTAAAATAATTTCAAATTACAGTCATGTGCTTTACTGACAAGGAGAATTGTTATTTGGTCATATTTATAATTTATGCTTTGGGCGCACTGGAGTTCGGCTTCAGACTCTTCGAATTTATATATATAGTCAACAATTTGCAATTTTTTAGTTGCATTCTATTCACCATATTGATTTCTTGGGTAGTGGTTTTCGTTTTCACCACGATCCTGTTTGTTGGTGTGATATTGGCGAGTATAACTTCAAATTTTAAAGGTAAACTCTTACAATTTTCTTTTTTAGAAAAACCCTAAATTGGTTAGTGCCTATTTGTGGGTTGCCCTGGTGTTTGGGGTTCTATTGTGCATAATGCAGATTGTGACGTATGCGTTTGTTCCGCGAAAGTACATCGTAGAAAGTAAACATGAAGTCGAATTTTTATTTATGGCAACGTGGCCAGCTTACTTCCGTGAGTCTGTTTCAGTGTTTCGTACAAGAGGTTATTACTAGGAAGTCGTTTTTTTTCAGTCTTGTGGGCCTCTTTTGTGTTTTATCCGTTTGTTTACTTTGTAGAAGAACTATGGCAGTAATGCATTATAGTTCCTTTGGAAATCGACGAAGTTTTCTCCTGATTTTGGCCAACATTTACAAAAATTTTAAATATATTTCTCACGACAATCCGAAAATTCAAACATATTTGTAGTCATTTTTTTATTAAAAAAATAAGTAAATCCTAGGGAATTATTTCTTGAAGGACGTTCTGCACATCCCACTGTGCCAATCTACGCAAGTGACAGTGGCTGTGGAGTTGACAGCACCTAATGATGGATTTCTTTTTTACGACTGGTAATCGCAGTTACCCCTTTTGCGGCGGTAAAAGAGCAGGGCAAAAGATAGCGGCTCGTCTCGAAATATTTAGCTAACGCAAAACAAAAACATTAATGAAAGTTTTTCAGCACAGCCGTTGTTTTTGTTAGTTTATGCTCTTCTACCTGTTCGCATTGGATGGCTGGCTTGGTATGTGTTCTGAATAGTTCGCCCAGACACACATGAAAAAATGCGGAAAATGTTTGGACAATACCTGGCCAAAGAAAAGAAAACAAAACAAACGAAGAACAGGTAGACGAATATCGTCAACATATACAGGCTTGCCAAACGCACAGGGAGAATCGGAACAAGATACAAAATCGGAGAGAATCTTGAGAGAACGCAGAACCGATCAGATGTTTTGAGGTTCCATGACATTTGGAAGAGAGAACTTCTTTTTACCAGCGAATATCGTAAACAGACTTTAAGTCAGAATTGTATTAAACTAAATTAATTTTCGAATATACCAAAACCTTTTATTTTTAATACTCATTTTGGAATAAGGTAATATTGGTATACTTCCTTGAAAACATCTCATTAAAAAAAAAACAACCCTTTCTAGAAAAAAAACTTCTTGAAAATAATTGTTTGTCTATTTTGTCATTACATTTGGGAAGCCACTCAATTTAAAAATTTTAATAACTTTTTTAAAAGATAGCTAAAGATTCACATTTCAGTGTCATTAGGGGCAAGTCTGTTTGGCCAAACACAAACAAAACCTGAAGAATCATCAACCTTGATTACCTTGAGCTGCGAGTGACCCTTCTCAAAGCCCCATAACGAGAAGAAGATGGAGATACACAGAAAAAATATATCCAGTTACTGTTCCTTATTTAAAATTTATTTTTTTTTAATATTAGAAGCAAGCAATATTTGTATATTTTCTAGTCAATTATGAATCTATTTCTAACTGTGCAGTTTTAATGCCAAGCTCAGCTCTTAATTATAAGTTGCGGACCTCCCTCTTTTCTATACCCTTTCCCTATATATCTCCCCCTCGCTAGTTCTTAGAACTATAAGACATCATCAATTCATTAGCATTTTAAATTTAAAACAAAAGTTAAAACAAGCTGGTCGACGTCAGCGTTTCGCTCTTTTGTTCCTCTCTCTTCCAATTTTGCCGTTCTGTCAACTTTGCGAGCTTTTTGCGAAATTGGTTGCTGTTTTTTGTTTTCGTTCGCTTTGTGTTTCTTACACCTCCACACAGCTGAGCTTGGATCCATAAAAGATATAAAAATATTTATATATGTTCCAGACCCAGTGATATATGGGCTACTTGCTGTTGTTGTTGCTGGGCAATATTGACAAATGGAAATTCTGAATCGTTTGTTTTTTGGCCTGGCTTAAACCAAATTAACTCTCTCCCACTCTCTTTTTCTCTGTTGCTGTTCAACTCGTTAGCTCTACCTCTCTCTTTTTTACGATTGCAATAATGATCTCACTCTGTTGTAGTTCTCAGTGTTTTTTGCTTTACGATATTAAATTGCTTTATTAGCCAAAAAAAGGCGAGAACGTTGCGGAGTAAAGTCTTTTTAATTCCTAGTTTTCGTTTTTTTCCTATTTTTGTTCGATTCCACTTCTGTGATTTCTTCTTTGTCAATTTAGCACTCGTTTCGAACGTGTTTCGGCGGTAACACGCAAGCAGCTCTATAAAATGGTAGCTTTTGATATCAATTTATCTTCGGTTGAATTTGTCATGTTGCTAAACTTTATTATGTCGTTAAGGTGGAGGAAAATTCCGTTATTTTTAACATGATTTTTGAGTTTTCTCTTTTTTTAAAGAGCATATTATATAGTTGTTTTTGATCAAATAAGTTTTTTAATTTTTTTCAGACTCTTTTACACCAAGGCAATAATTGTTAACTCCCGTTGATTTTTCCATAGCAGCTTCACATTTTTCTAGTAATTTTTATACTTTTTTGTTGGCTATCTCTTGGGCCAACAACTCAAAAAACACGTTGCAATTGGCAACTGGTTTACAGCTATGCAACGGCAAACACACACACTCGCGGCTATTTCTTTATGTACACACACTTGGGAGCGTCTAGGTAGACACAAACACAAAAGCAAATAAATGTTGCAGGTGTGTAAATGCCAATTTTTCCACTATATATAGGCATTTTTTGTTAACTTTTTTACATTTATATTTTGCGAGTAATTTGCACAATTAATTGTAATTATTTGATTGGGTATTTTCGATAAGCAAAAAGGCAGGGATTTCGTTGTATATACCTTTTAGATTTTCATGCTGCTTGATTATTTTTTTGCTGTTGCCACTTTTGTGCACCTTTTTTTCACACACAAACTCGAAACAGAAAATGCCATTAATGATACGATGTTGTTGTTGTCTTGAGCACTGGAAATTTTCGTTACGCTTTGGCAGACATTACGAGCCATGCTCCGCATCCGCGACCCCCAATCCACATCCGCAATCCGCCAGCAGCGATATGATGGCTATATCTATATCGTAGTTGCTCGCGGGTGTTGCTGCGGCAGTTGAAAGAGTTTGAGCGGTTTTGGGACTACTGGGATCGCAACTCGGACCCGTCTATCTTTGGTTACACGTACTTTGCGACTGAGCCGAGAGCAACTGGCGAAACACACGCCGAACTCAAAACTGAAGCTGGTCCCGTCTTTTGGCCTGGCCAAGAGCCTCGCTCTCCCAACAGTTAACAATGGCAGGTGAGAGCAGCTGCAGCGGAGAGCCAGATATCACATTTCAGGTACTGAGCGAATCGTGGTAGCGCAGATTTTTTGACCAAACGATCCACCTGGGTGAACAGCACCGCATCCGGCGAATATCGTAAGGTAGCTAAGGTGGTAAAGATATTCTAATTTATAGATATAAACGACTAGATTTAGATTGAAAAACGTATAAGATTGCGTTTTTGAAGATATTAAGGTTTCTAAAAAACGTTTGCATGTTAATACAACCTTGTTTTCAAATTTTAATAAAAAAAAAGGATTTTAAAACATTTGCAGCTTTTATGTAACAATTAATTAATAAATTGTTGAAAGTTTTTTCCACGTGAAAATGCGTTAAAATAATAAAAGCAACATAAAATCAGACAATCCAATATCGTAAATGGTGCAAAATTTAAAGATAAACTATTTTCCAATATTTAACTAAAAAAATCTTTTGTTTTTGAATGAAAGTCTCATTTATTCTATTTATTTATTCACTACTTCGAGCACGCACTTAAATTTGCACTTAAAAGTGGGAAACAAAACCAATAAAATTTGCCCGAGCCCAATGTTTTATTAACCATTAAGTGATTGACTTAGGAAAAGAGAAATCGGAAACTATTTATTAAGTATTTAAAATCAGTGTTTACTCTTCTTCTTCTTGGTCTTGTGCTTGGATTTGTCACTCTTTTTGGACTTTTTCTTGGATTTCAGTTTTGATTTCTTAGACTTTTTCGAGCTGGAGCTCTTGTGCGACTTCTTGGGTTTGCTGGGCTTAGATCTCTTTGCCTGGTCCCCAGAAGAATCTGAGGATAAACTGTCGCTGGAACTGTCGTCGCTGTCTTCGCTGCTGGATACGCTTTTCTTTTCCACCCACTTTTCAACTTTCCGCTTTTTGGGAGCGTGCTGCTGCCACAGCTGCTGTAGTTTGGCATCGATGGTAGCCTCTGCCTGATCCTCTGGGGCTGCAGGCTTCTGAGGAACTGCTCCTGGCAGCTTTGGCCCGTATATATCTTCGGCCGGCACCTCAGCCATTGCCAACTCTTTGTCGTTTCTCAATCGCTCTTCTCGTGATTTGTAGGAGATTTTCAATTTATTCCCCTCAATGGGAGCGAACTTCGGTGGAGCTGGGTCTTTGGGGGCCTGGGCCTCCACTTCCTTGGGCTTAAACAGCGCTGCAAATATTCCTCTAGGTGGCGAAGTATTCCTGAGAACATTATGTGCGGCCGCTGAAGTTGAGGACATTGAAGGTAAGCCCAGAGCCTCTTGCACTGCAGCCAATTTGTCCTGGACTGCATTCTCTGGCTGCTTTTCAGCTGCCTCCTCCTCCTCGTCGCTGTCATCGAAGATGCTCTTGAACAGGTCCGTTTTCTCTGAAATGGGCTTGTTGCGCGATTCGTCCACCGCCTGTTCCAATGGAGTTTTCGGCACGAAAGTGAACTTGGATGGCTCTTCTTTGGAAGTGCGTGTTTCCTGTACCTCAACTGCAGGAGGAAGAGCTGGCGTTGGTTCTACTTCTATCGCCTTTGTCTTTTCTATGTGCTTGGGAAAAATGGAGGGAGTCTGAAAGTTGGCTTTTGTGTTAACAGACGTCTCTAGATAATCGAATACTGAAATCTTCGGCTTGGCTTTGAGTTCCTTTTCCGGCTCTAACATGGCGCCGCCAAAGGGCTCGGCAATATTGTACCGCTTGCAAAGGAGAGAGGTGGGTTTCCACATGGTCTTGGTCCGTTCCATCACGATCTTTCGCTCCTCCGCGTCCTTTGCCTGCTCTTTGACCTTCTCTGCCTGTACATTTGCTTCCGAAACGAATCTGTCGTTCATAAGGCCATCTAATGGGCGATAGATCTTGGCCGCCTGGACGAACTCTTTCTTCTCCATCTCCCTGTCCCACAGGGAAAGTGTAACGGGTTGCATGGTGGCCAGGAGCTCAGTTATTGCTGTGTCGTCTGTTAGTTTTGAGGCTACAAACTTTTCGTATCGCAGCTGTTTAGCTTCATCGGCAAGGAAGGGTTTAAAAGCGCCTGAAGATGATGTTGCGGGGGCTAAATTAATAGAAATGTTTTAGTTTCATCACTCTGGGTTAACGAGATCTCTACTTACCCAAATCTTTGGTCTTGAGGGCAGCTTTCTCCAGTATAACTGCATTTGTATTCTTTACCTCTTTAGCCAATTCTGTTAGCTTCTCTTCGCCACTTTCGGTTATCAATCCGCCCTTGGTGAAACCCTCAGTCCTGGCATTGATGCGCTCTAGCAGGGATTTTCCGCGATCCTTGAAGGGATTCCGTTTCGGCTGCTCTTCCTCCTTTTTCTGCTCCCCCAGAAGCTGCGCTCGCTGGTCAGGATTGAGATCATGCCTTCCCAGACCCGAGCGTTTGTACTCCGTGGCAGTCTCCAGCTTTTTGGCTCGTTCCTTGTCCATGGGCGCAAAGCGACTCCTTCGCTGCAGCCAATTCCTGGGCTCAAAATCCCTGGGCAAATCAATGGCGTAGGGCTTCTGCAGGGCCGCGCCCGATTTGTCCTCACTGAAACCATCGATGACGTGGCGCTGCTGGACGTGCTGCTGTTTCTTTTGCTTGGGCTTCTTGTCCGCCAGCGAGAAGTCGTAGCGGGTCATATCGTCGCGAGCGTAGATATCCTCGTCCTCCTCTTCGAAGGCTCCCACTCCAAAGGCTTGACCCCGTATGGAGAGCTGCTTCTTGTTGGCCTGCTCCTCCATCTGGCCAAAGAGATTGATGTGCTGCATGGGCTTCGCAGAGCTAGAGGAGGATTTCGAAAGGATGGGATCGCGGCTGAGACCGGAGTAGCTCATGCCAAAGCGATTCTCCTTGGGCGTGTAGAAGATGGGCTCGTAGTCGTCGGGCGCAAAGGTAATATCCTCGTCGTCGTCGTCTTCATCCTCAGCATTGCCATCTTCCTCGTTTGCCTCTGTTTGGGCAGGTAATCCCTCCGCGCCGTAGTGCTCGAGGAGATACTGCTCCCTGGTGTTCCTGGCGGTGGCCTGGCGCTTCTCCTTTCGCGTTTGCCGCGGTCCCACTCCCTGGCCGGGCTTCCAGCCCATGCTCTTGAGTATGCGCACGGCCACCTTGTCCCGCACCGGACGCAGCAGTTGCTCCAGGACCGGAACTCCTGGTATGGGACCCACTGGCGCATCCGGCTGCATCAGCTTGCGACGGCGTTGACCGGAACGTTGCTCCTGCTCCTCCTCCTTGGCGAACTCATCGCGGGTGCGTATTCCCTGCGGTGCGATGCCAAACTCACCCAGGTCTTCGTGGTCCATGAAGTCCTCCGGCTTAAGCTGAACCCTCGGCGTCGCCTTCTCCGCGCGCGAGCTCTTAAATGTCTGCGGCGTCCAGCCCTCCAGGGAGCCCACGGTGTTCCAGAATCCAGCGCTAAAGCCGCCGGTGAAGGCGCCATGGAACCTCCGCTTTCCATTCTCATCCTTCACAATTTGATCCTCTATGGCAACCGGTTTCTTGGCAGGCACAACGTCTGTAGAAGATTAGGGGGTATTATCAAGGCTGCAATTGATCCTTGGCCATACATACCCTTCTCCAGGGGCGCCAGTGGAGTGCCGAACCTGTGTAGATGCTCTTCCTCGTCCATTTTAAGCTAAAAATTCCATTTATTTGCCAAAATGATTTGTTTGGTCTGGGTGCCAGTGTGTGCACACCGAAGAAATTACCCAAAACAGCTGACAAGACTGTCCACTCGCCGGTCGCAGTTTAACAAAAAGTAGTGACTGATACTTCGGGTTGAATAACGAAATATTTTATTTTACCAACCAATACACAAAATAAAAGTAATTAGAATATTTAGTTTGAAAGCTCAAATTAAGCTATTTTAAAAGGGTTTTAATGTGATTTAAATTGTTGGTATATGTAATAAAAACCTACAAACCAATACAAAAACAAAAAACTATTGGAATATTAAGTTCAATTTAAGTTAATTAAAATGTTTAATGTGATTGATTGATAAATTGTTGGTAAACGATATATCTACTTAATATTTTATATAAAAAGTAACATTACATCAAATTGTATCATCATTTATTTGGTAAAAACAAATTATTTGCAGGGCTTTCTTTTTTTAAACACAAATTCTGTTTGAACTCCCATCAGTAGTCACGGCTTCAAGTCGCGGTATTATTCGAAATCACCACAAGTGAATGTTGCCACCTCTAGTTCCATCACACGGTCACACTGCAAACATTGCAAATATTTTAGGAAAACTATTTCGTTGCAATTTTGATCTGCCTGCAACGGGAATAAAGAAATACAGTGCAAATGGTAAGCGTGGCGGCGGCGACAAAGAAAGGAACACCTGTCCGATTGGAAAAGCAGGTAGGTTCAGAGCACTCAGACAGTTGGGCAGCGGCCAGGTTGGAGCTACCTGTGCTGTCTGTATGGGTGACTAATGATGTCAACATTTTCTGTTTTCTCCCCGCAAGCCGACGGCCATTTTTTGCTAGCTAAGACGTGACTGTTGGCCGAAAAAGCCGAGCAAGTGCAGCGCAGTAAGTTGGCACAGATTCCGCCGTCGCCGGGAAGAGGCCCTCTAACCACAACTCCACTCCCATCGAACAGCATTCATAACCCCATCAGCCAAACCCACATCCTGGTCACACACACGCACACACCGAGAGCAGAGCGAGATGTCCGAGAAGAACCTCAAGGTGGGCGCCCGCGTCGAGCTGACCGGCAAGGATCTGCTCGGCACGGTGGCCTACGTGGGCATGACCAGCTTCGCCGTCGGCAAGTGGGTGGGCGTCGTGCTGGACGAGCCGAAGGGCAAGAACAGCGGCTCCATCAAGGGCCAGCAGTACTTCCAGTGCGAGGAGAACTGCGGCATGTTCGTGCGGCCCACGCAGCTGCGCCTGCTGGAGGCGGCTCCTGGCAGCAGCAGCAGGCGCAGCATCGAGGATGTGAGCGGTGCCACGCCCACGGCTGCCCAACCCACAAAGGCGCGGCTGAGCAGCTCGCGCACCTCGCTCTCCTCCAGCCGCCAATCGCTGCTGGGCTCCCGCACCCAGCTGACCACATCTCTGAGTGAACGCACTGCCTCCAGCAGCAGCATTGGCCCCCGGAAGTCGCTGGCCCCGCAGAGCAGCAAGGATAAGGACGCCTCCAGCACGGAGGGAGCAGCTGCAGCAGTCGCCTCTTCAGCAGCCTCTTCCAAGCGGGCCTCCTTCGTGGAGACCGGCTTCCTGGAGATCCTGAAGCCGCAGTTCACGCCCTCGCAGCCTCTGCGCTCGCCCTCCTTCACCATGCCCTCGAACTCCAGTGCCGAGGACAAGACCGCCCTGCTGGAGGCGCAGAAAACCAGTGCCGAGCTGCAGGCACAGCTGGCCGATCTCACCGAGAAGCTGGAGACCCTGAAGCAGCGCCGGAATGAAGACAAGGAAAGGCTGCGTGAATTCGACAAGATGAAGATTCAGTTCGAGCAGCTGCAAGAGTTTCGCACAAAGATCATGGCTGCGCAGGCTTCGCTGCAGAAGGAGCTGCAGCGGGCCAAGCAAGAGGCCAAGGATGCAGTGGAGGCCAAGGAGCAGCATGCCCAGGAAATGGCCGACCTTTCGGACAACGTGGAGATGATCACCCTGGACAAGGAGATGGCCGAGGAGAAGGCCGACACGCTTCAGCTGGAGCTGGAGTCCTCCAAGGAGCGCATCGAAGAGCTGCAGGTGGATCTCGAGCTCCTGCGCTCCGAGATGCAGAACAAGGCGGAGTCCGCCATCGGTAGCATCTCCGGCGACGGCGATTCCCCCGGTCTCTCCACCTACGAATTCAAACAGCTGGAGCAGCAGAACATCCGTCTGAAGGAAACGCTGGTGCGTCTGAGGGATCTTTCTGCCCACGACAAGCACGACATCCAGAAGCTGAGCAAGGAGCTGGAAATGAAGAGGTCCGAGGTCGCTGAATTGGAACGCACCAAGGAGAAGCTGAGTTCCAAGATCGATGAACTGGAGGCCACAGTGGCCGACTTGCAGGTGAGCATCCTAGTCGTAATAATCCTTTTTAGGCCTTTTCACTGCCCGCCACCAATTGGTATTCCCACACTCGACACTGTAATGAAAATTCACGGCTTTTCCCGCACATAAGTTTTGCTTTCCTTGCTGCGCTGCTTTAACTTAATTCTCGCTATTTTATTAAAAGAAGATATCGGTTAAAAATCTGTAAACTAATACTTAGAAAAACCGTAGATTTTCCATTTAAAGCTTTTCGAATAATTGAATTAATTTTATTAAGTCTAATTGATATTTCAAGCTATTTTTGACCGGTATCTTCGGTTTACAAGTGTAATATATTTTGCCCAAGGTCGCTCTAAAGATAAACTTTTTCATTGCCTTTCTTTTTGCCGGCCTGCCTTTAAAACTAATAATTATCGGGGTCCAAGGAGGTAAATTGTGTATATTAAACATTTCCCCAGACAAAATTTAAACCATTTCGCCTTTAAAATACTTTTAACCAATGAACAAAAATAAATAAAATTCTCTTGTCCCAGGAACAAGTCGATGCTGCACTGGGAGCCGAAGAAATGGTGGAGCAGCTGGCGGAGAAGAAAATGGAGCTGGAGGACAAGGTGAAGCTGCTCGAGGAGGAGATCGCCCAGTTGGAGGCTCTGGAGGAGGTTCACGAGCAGCTGGTTGAGAGCAATCACGAACTGGAGCTGGATCTGCGCGAGGAGCTGGACTTGGCCAACGGGGCCAAGAAGGAGGTGCTGCGGGAGCGAGATGCAGCCATCGAGACCATTTACGATCGCGACCAGACCATCACAAAGTTCAGGGAACTGGTGCAGAAACTGAACGACCAACTCACTGACTTGAGGGATCGCAATTCTAGCAATGAAAAGGAGTCGCTGCAGGACCCGAGCTTAAAGTTGGCCACCGAAACCATTGACTACAAGCAGATGTTCGCCGAATCCAAGGCCTACACTCGAGCCATCGACGTCCAGTTGCGCCAAATTGAGCTCAGCCAGGCCAATGAGCATGTCCAGATGCTGACCGCCTTCATGCCGGAATCCTTCATGAGTCGCGGCGGTGACCACGACTCCATCCTGGTGGTCCTGCTCATCTCACGCATTGTCTTCAAGTGCGGCATTGTCGTTTCGCAGACGAGGGAGCGTTTCCCAGCCGTGGAGGCGATCACCAGGGAGGCGGTGACCCAGGGCCATGCTGTCCAGCAGTACGCCTTCAAGTGCCGCCTGCTGCACTACGTCCACAGCCTGCAGTGTGCCCTCCACCAGATCCTCTACGGACTGAATAGCTGCCAACCGGACACTCTACTGAGAGCCGGCAGTTCCCTGCCCGAGATGGTGGCCCAGGAAAAGATAGTGGACGGCATCATCGAGCTGCTGAAGTCCAACCAGCTGGACGAGAACAGCACCACGGATAATATCGAGAAGTGTGTGGCCTTCTTCAATGCCATGAACTCCGTGCTGCTGGCCGGGGAGCAGCTGCTCAACGAAATCCAGATGATTCGCGACTGTGTGGCCTCCTTGGGCGCTGCTTGTGAGAGCATTCTCAGCGACACGGCTATTGCCAAGGTGATTATCCAGGAGGCGGGCGCCACCAGCGACTCGGTGCTGCTGATACAATTCCTCAACGAGAACATGGAGAGCGTGCGGCAGCAGGTGAAGTTGATCAAGCGCCGCCTGCCGAGCGACCAGCATGTGATCAAGAGCGGCCTCTCGCCGCACAAAGTGGAGGCGATGCGGGCTCTGGCCCAGAACATCAGTCGCATCATGTCGGCCATGCACCAGGCCACCAAGCAGTCCCTGGCCGCCATTGTTACGACCATCGAGAGCGACAATGCGGCGGAACATACGCTGCCGCAGGAAAAGTATTGGGCCCTGCTGTCCGCTTCGTGTGAGCGCATCTACGAGCAGGATGATCGCGGACCAACGCACAATTTCAAGACGCTGCTGGCCCAAGCCAACTCCGACCTGCAGCACATTGCCCAGCATCTGCTGGACAAGGAGTACGAGATCATCTCGGCGGCCAACAGTGCCGGTGGCCAACAGAAATCGGGTGCCCACAGCACGCCGATCACTCAGCGAGCGCAGCTGATTAAGAAACAGCTGGAGCAGAAGAACGTGCTGGCCGCCACGCTGGAGAATCGCGAGGCGGACGTGAAACAGCTGAAGCTGGCCGCCAAGATGAAGCAGAACGAGCTGAGCGAGATGCAGATCCGCAAGGATCTGGCCGAGAAGAAGCTGAGCGTGCTGCAGAACGAGTACGAGCACGCGGTGGACAAGTGGAAGCAGCAGTACGAGGAGACGCGCCAGCAGCTGCAGCTCAAGGAGAAGGAGTTCGAGGAGACGATGGACCATCTGCAGAGCGACATCGACGCCCTGGAGAGCGAGAAGAGCGATCTGCGCGACAAGCTGAAGCTGAACTCGAGTACGGGCAAGGTGCAGTCCGGTTCGGAGTCGCACTCCCCGCACAATCTATCGGTGGCTGGCTCCAACACCAGTGCTCCCGGCATCACCAACGTATCCTACACTGCTCCCGCGGGCACAGCTCCAGTTGTCGCGGAGGAGGTGCAGCTGCTGAAGAACGCCTTCAACCAGGAACGCAACGAACGACTGCGGCTGCAGGCTCAGGATATGCGTGCCAAACTGTCGCAGTTTGAGCCGCTGTATGTGCCGCAGCCACAGGATCAGCGCATCACCGCC